TTTATAGCCACGTTGGTACATTCCATATCTACCAATAAAGCTGGCATTACATTTTCTTGATGTTTTATCCTAATGTGCACTAACTCCAGTATAAGAAGGCAGCAGTGACATGCAATAACCCTGATCCGTTCAGCAAAGCTCCATAGCCCTGTTGTGCTCTCAGACTACAAACGTCTGTCGCCCTCTGTTGGCAGAAGCGGTGACTGCATGCAGATTTTCCCAACTCATCCCAGTTTGTTTTTCTTTTCTGAGCGAAAATATTATCTTTAAAGGTATGCAAAGAAGGAATCTGAAATATATGCAAGGCCTTGCCTAGTATTTATATTCACATGCATATATTACATATCAGTCATGTATGTTTGGAGAAAACTGCAGCTCGTCACTTTTTTTTTTTCCTTACAGCTGCACAGACACATATCTTCCTGGATAATTATTTGGTGACTACAGCTTATGAGGAAGGGGAAAAAAATCACGTTTGTATTTGAACACTCCATTCGGCTTCAGCAGGTAACAGGCATTTTTGCCTGGGGCAAATATGAGGGTGGAGTGTATTTATCGTATTGCTTATGAAATGAACCATGCTATAATAGCATCAAGTACAAGGAAGCAGCTTGACTGGTGTAATAACAAAAGAGATCCAGGTCCATGTGTATCTACAGAATTCCTTTTTTCAGCAAATGTTCTAGATTGTGCAGCTGCTGCACAACCTCTTACAGAACAAGTCTGGCAGTTCACCTGTAAGACAACTCACCTCCAGTCTGTCTGAACTGGCAGTGATTGTCAGCTCTGCCGTCCAAAATATTCGGCATTATCTGAGATCATTCAACTCAGCGAACTGTTCGTCCTGGGCAGCCAAGTCCCCCAAAAAATCGTCATTTCAGTTGTGTGGTTGCTGGCATGGTGAATCACATGCTGGCTTCTTTGGTGGTGAAATGTCGCCAACAGAAATTCAACTTCTGTCCAACAGCCGCAGCCATGACAAAGCCAAATGATGGTGTCACTCTTTCTCATGGATTATCCATGATGCAGGGTACACAAATAATTAGGTGATTCAGCTGCAAGAGAGTGACGCCATCATGACGGCCTTGTGGGGTCAGGCAGAGGGGAAATAACGGTTTTTGGTGGTCTTTTACTAAGAGAAAACCAAAAAGAAAAACATAGTCAAAGACTGCCAAGTTCTTGATTGAGTGTCAACCACACAGTAATATCTAGGACTGGACAAAGGAAATGATGACCATGACCCAGCAGTAGATACCCATCAGGTAGACAGTCGCCCTTGTCAAAGGTGGATTCTAACCCGCCATACTAAATGCATGTCCTTGTCATTACCAATTATCGTGTGTCCTCTACATCATTCTAGACACTCCAGAAGCAGATCCGGACAAACGTGGGAGCCGGCTGACCAATGCAAAATAAAATAGCAGCCCTACCTCCATAGAGAGTCCTCTCCATTGATGTCAATGGAAGCCTGTGTTTCCGAAGACTGGCTCTTTTAATGTTATTTATCAACCATTTAGGAGAATTAAGATAGCGAATGTTGCTATCTGTTCATCATGTATGATCAGTGCAATCCACGCCTGGCCAGCTTGTGACTGACAGTTTTATTGTTACATAGCTAGCCAGCAACGCACAGCAGATACATTGTAGCAATTACAATCACTGCTAGGAAGCTCAGTGATATATCATGCATCCGACACACCGATTGCTGCCAGTTTAAAAGCTCCCCATTGTGACCAGCTGAAAAATGCTTGGTATGTAGTTATATGGTATGAATTAAAGGGATACCCCATTCCAACAAAACATTGTCTATTTAAATCAGTGGACATCTCCTACCTACTAAGCTTTGGTTTCTTGCACCTGGTTGTCCCTGTTCCCAACTATTAGTATCCTTTTCTTCTATGAAGCCAAGAAAGTGGGTCTGTGAAAGCACATGCCAAGTGGACCTTGGTTCTGGACTCCGCCCTCTGTAGTTTTCTGGATGGGAGGCGGCACAGCAAAGAACAATCAGAAGCTACTGTACACTCACAAGACATTTGAACGGTCTGCTCAATAACAACGGATCATATAAACCTTAAACTTTGGCACAGAACCAGGGATTCCTAAATAGCATTAGCAGATCACTCTTTAAGGGCTTGAAGTACACGTACACCCAGTAAATAAACCAGTACTACCCTTGAGTAGGCCTGCCATGTTGGAACTGGAGGCCTGCAATGTACCATTGAGTACTCTAAGCATCCCTGCGGCCTCTAGTCTGCATTTAGATTCCTTCTTACATTCTAAAGCCTGCTACAGTAAAAAAGAGAGTTGGGCTCTCTCTCTCTCTCTCTCTCTCTCTCTCTCATTAAGTGGCCGTCAGCTTCTGCAGACTCCTCTGCCTGTCACCAGTGCTTCCCAGCTGCTCTCCACAATCCCATCCCATGCAAACCACTAAGGTCCTGCAGCACCTGACCACTGAGCCAGCTGCTAACTCTATCCTTTCTAAACCCTGGTGGGACTGTGGCAGCCTGAAAAGCAGCAAACACACCAAACAAAGACAGAAGCAGCTCCACGGTCAGCTGTGCGATTGAAGACACCGAACCCGAACGCCATGCAGAAGGTTCCAATTCAAAAATATGCAATGCTCATGGAGTGAGATTATGTTAGGATCAAATCAAGGAAAATACAGCGTCATAAATCTCCCTGATTAACGACAGGAGCTACCGAATGGGAAGACAAGCCACACAGCGCTGAGATTCAAAAAAACAAAGTGGAAATAACATTCTATTAAGGAATCTGACACATAGAAATGTGGAAACTACATACAACCTACACTCACATCTGAGGACAATGAATACAATAAAATAGGATTACCTCCATGGGATGTGTGTATGTGTGTGTGTGTGGGGGGGGGGGGTTGGGGGTTTATGGTGCTGGTGGAAGGTAGGACATACTTTATTTGCAACTGGGACAACAACAAAAAATTCATAGGGATGAAAAGAAACTAGCAGAGTGGAAGTGGGAACAGGAGTCTAAAAGATACATAAAGGAAAAACAAACATCTGGCTGTTTGTAAATTTCACTCATTTCACCTGCATGCATATTGAAGGCAATGCTGCTGAATGGAAAAGAGAGGGCAAAGCATCGTTGTGTATCTGAAACCATTTATTTTAATATAGAGCATCTGAAATATCCAACCGGGGCTGTATATAGAAAAGTAAACAGTGCATACAACAGCACCGGCAGCATGCCAAATAAACATCTGACACAGATGTGAGGACGCAGATAAAATACTGGCCATGAAAGCCTATGAATCGTATGCACAGTGACTGCATCCAGAGGACACAATGCACATCATTGATCAGAGTGTAGATTGTTCTGACTATCTGAATGCAGAATAGTAGAAATAATGCAGCTTTTAAGATAAGTAAATAAGACCCCCACCAAAAAGAAGAAATTAACCCTTATATATTAAAAGATATGGCTTTAGTACTGGCTGTACAGTGTCTACAATGAACAGTGATAGGTGGATTCGGAATGTCAGATAAACCTCTAAGATACAGAAAGAAACATCCTGGCTCTTGGAAGCAATCGGAACGTTCTGAATAAGTATTTGACTCATACATATGAGGAGACCAAAGGATTCATTGCAAATGCCTAGAAACCTCTGTTCAGGATCTAGAATAGAAATATTAAAGAGTATGTAGAGGGCACGTTACACACACATAACATCCCCAATTCCAACGTGGAACATTCTATGCAAAATTTTGGGGATGCGAAGTACAAATTTCCAAAGATAACATACAGAACGTTTCTGCTGGGAGGATATGGGTAGAACCTTTTATAGTATACCAATATTAGGAATTAACAGAAGTGCAGAGTACATGCTGCAGAAGTTGGTGAAGGCATACCTACATATCTCTCTATGGACAGTAGACAGGGGGTATAGCACCAACATGCAAAGGATTACTCAATGCAGAAGGTTCTATATATGCCACACAGAACCTTCTATAGTGCCATCCTGAAAGAGGCTGGACATAAGTAGAACATTCTCTAAGATCTTAGACTAGATAATGTGCTGGCATTGAGTACCTGATGGAGAAGTAGGTTAAGAGTTGCATTGCACCTACATATCTATGTATAGGAAAAAGGTATAGCATAACACCAGCAGACACACAATAACTCATTGCAGAAAGTTCTATATATGCCACACACAAGCTTCTTCCATGCCCACCAGAAAGCTACTGGAACAATCAAGAACACTCTATAGGACCACCTGGAGCTAGAAGATGTGCTGACACTGAGTACCTGCTGTAGAGGTTGGTTTAGAGTTGATTGCACCTACATATGGACAGTAGATGGGGGTATGGCACAGCACCAACATGCACACCATCACTCATTGCAGAAGGTTCTATATATGCCACACAGAATCTTCTTCGGTGCCAACCAGAAAGCTGATGTAACAGGGAAGAACTTTCTATACAATCCTGTGGAACTAGAAGATGTGCTGACACTGAGTATCTGCTGTAGAGGTTGAGTTGCATATTTATCTATGGACAGTAGACTAGACACCAACATTCACTCAATTCAGAAGGTTCTACATACGCCACCCAGATCTTCTACCATGCCAATCAGAAAGCTACTGTAACGGGGAAGAACATTCTATGGGATCATGTGGAACTAGAAGATGTGCTGACACTGAGTACCTGCTGTAGACATTGATTAAGAATTGTATATTTATCTATGGGCAGTAGACACCAGCATCCACTCAATGCAGAAGGCTCTACATATGCCACACAGAAACTTCTACCATGCCAACCAGAAAGCTGCTGGAAGTGGGTAGACGCTGGTAAATAAGCATGTGGCACATACAGATGGGTTGACACAGACTAAATCCTGGCTGGAAGAGATGGAACACACTATGTACAGTGCACAGCTATGGACAGGGCTAGGTGACACACATGGAGGATAGCTAAGTACATACAGTGTAGAAGGTTAAAATCACGTACTCTCCCAGTGTTCACGTCCAGGGGCTGAGTGAGGGCACTTACTTTCAGAGGGGAAAGGAGGGGGGAGGAAATCGATTTTGTAAACTTCCTTGGCATAATACTCCTCATCAGTCCTCTCCCTCTCGCACAGCAGAGCTCTCTGGTTGGCCTTCTCCTGCAGCAGGTCCCTGGTGCTGTTGTAGATGGAGATCACATCCTGGGAGACCTCCTCGGGCTCCGGGTAATCCTCCGGGGGGCTGGTGAGCTTCAGCTTGCTGAGGATCTGACCCCGGATCGCCTCGATCCTCTTGCGCATGAATTGATCCATGTCTAGGGTGCTGCAGGTAGACAGGCTGAGAGCCACCGCGGCCAGATCCAGGATGAGGACCACGCTCAGGAGATAATAGTGCATCTTCAGGGGGCTTCTAATAATAAGGGATCCAGAGACAGGAAAATACTAATATGTACAAAATCACTGCTGTGCAAAACTCAGATTTACTAAAAAAAAAAAAAACTTTTAGAGTCGCAAAGAAAAAAAAAAGTTTCCAAAAGTTTCTAAAAAGTTCCAAAAAGGTTTCCAAAAGTTGCAAAAAAAGTTCCTGAAAGTTCCAAGACAGTTTCCAAAAACAAAGTTTCCAAAAGTTACAAAAAGTTTCTCAAAGTTCCAAGAAAGTTTCCAAAAAGTTCCAAGAAAAAGATTCCGAAAGCTCCAAAAAGTTCCAAGAGAGTTTGCCCAAAAATTCTACAGGAGGTCCCGCAGCCAGGATCCGGTCAGGAGGAATCCGAGGAGTCCAAGCGGAGGGAAGGGGCTGCTGGTGCCGTCATGTAGGTGACACTCTGCTGCTGCTAGAGCTTCCTGGGCTGGGAGGTCCAGGGCTGCCAGGAGTCGGGTCCAGATCACCTCCACAGGGAAGCCGGGCTGCTGCTGCTGCTGGCCGGGGGGACACGGCTGGTGCCGGGGGCTGAGAGCTGCTGGAGATCCCGGAGCGGGCTGCATACAGCTGTGCGGTGGTCGGGTGCGGGGCAGATCCCCTCCAGTGTGCTCGGCTCTCGCTCTCTGTCTTCTTCTGCTCCTAGCTGGATGGTGTGCAGACCGTTAGGAGGCTCGCAGTCCGCCCCATGCGCCTCTCAGCACCGCCGCTCAGCCTGGGAGAGATAACAGGACGGGCTCTCGGGGCAGCACACACACATTTATAAGTCTCCCCGCACCACGTGTCCTCCTGCCACACTATGACGTGCTGCCGACTGTACAGCCGGGTTATGGGGGACACGGCACACAGGAGGGGACCGAAATCTGACAGCTGGGGACTCCCGGGAGGAGCAATCCCTGGCTTGTCATCCTGACTCTGCCTCCTTTCCCTTGCCTCTGTTTTATACTCCAGTCTCTGTCTTCTACTGCTGTCTTGTCATCCCTTGTCCCCTGTCTTGTCCACTGACCCTGTCTTGTCCCCCTTATACTGTCTTATACTCCAGTTCCTGTCTTGTCCCCTGACCCTGTCTTGTCCCCTGTCCCTGACTTGTCCCCCGTATACTGTCTTATACTCCAGTCCCTGTCTTGTCCCCTGACCCTGTCTTGTCCCCTGTCCCTGACTTGTCCCCCTTATACTGTCTTATACTCCAGTCCCTGTCTTGTCCCCTGACCCTGTCTTGTCCCCCTTATACTGTCTTATACTCCAGTCCCTGTCTTGTCCCCTGACCCTGTCTTGTCCCCCTTTTCTCTATCTTATACTCCAGTCACTGTCTTGTCATTCTGACTTGCTCCATGTCCCTATATTCCTGTCTTGTCCCCTGCCTTGTCATGCTGTTTTGTCATCCTGTCTTTTCCCCTGTCCCTGTCTTGTTGTTCTGTCTCATTCTTGTCCCCTTGCCTCTATCCTGTACCCTAGTCCCGGTCTTGTACCATTGCCTTGTCCCCTGTCCCCATCTTGTCATCCTGTCATGTCCCTGTCTTGTCATTCTTTTTCATTCTTGTACCCTTGCCTCTATCCTGTGCTCAAGTTCTTGTCTTGTACCACTGACTTGTCTCCTGTCCTGTCCCCCTTCCCTGTCACCATTCTGTCCCATTCTTGTCCCCTTGCCTCTATTCTGTACTTCAATCCTTGTCTCATACCTTTGTCCTGTCCCCTGCCCCTGTCTTATCACCCTGTCCTGTCCCTGTCTTGTCCTGTCCCCCGCCCCTGTCTTGTCATTCTGTCTCATTCTTGTCTATTTGTCTCTATTCCGTACTCCAGTCCCAGTCTTGTACCACTGATTTGTCGCCTGTCCCTGTCGTGTCATTCTGTCTTATTCCTGTCCCCTTGACTCTATCCTGTACTCCAGTCCCTGTCTCGTACCTCTGCCTTGTCCCCTGTCCCTGCCATCCTCTCTGTTGTCCCTCTGTTTCTATCTTGTCATTCTGTCGCTGTCTTGTCCTCTTGTCTTTATATTGTCCTCCTGCCCCTGTTTTGCCATGCTGTCTTTTTTCCTTTCCCCATCTTGTCCTTCTGTTCTTATCTTGTCCCCTTTTCCTTCCTTGACTCCTTGTCCCCTTCTTGCCCTCATTCCACTGTCTTGTCCCCTGTCCCAGTCTTGTCCTTGTCCCTCTTTCTTATCTGTCTTTTTATCTGTTTCATCTGCCTGGGCCTGTCTTATATTTCTGTCCCTATATTATCCCCCTGTTGTGTCCCCCTGTCGTGTTCCTTGTCCCTGCCATGTCCTTTTGTCACTTTCTTGTCCCTTACTTGTCCCCCGCCTTGTCCTCTTGTTTCCCCAGTCTTGCCCTTCTGTCCCTGTCTTGCCCTCCTGTATTCGGTTGTATGTGCCCCCAGGCCTCCTAATAAGGACACTATTGGTAATTGTAAGGTTAATGGTTTATGTCATTTCAATTGCTGGCTTTATTACTACAATTAAACTGAACTTGTAGCCTTTCCCCATCCACCAAATAAAATTGTGTGATGCTCATTTATCATTGTCTGTATTTGGTAGGGATGCACCGATACAAGTTCAGATACCAGTGCCGATACTTGGCATTTTCATGAGAACTACCAGGGTGGCAGCGGTTGCAGCTGGGACCTGGCTCTGGCGCTCCACCGCTGTCCTGAAATCATTAGTCTGTATTGTTTTCAAAAAACTGTCACATGACAATAAACAAAAATGTATCAGTACTTGTACTTGCAAAAATGGTATCGGTGCATCTCTTTATTTATATTTAAAAAAACAAAATCATACATTAAAACAGAGATGTACAAATCAGTGTGCTCCTTACAAATGACAGCTGCCTCCTAACTTTTGAATTTTTCTCTAGTCTAGTCCTGGAGCTCGAAAAGTATCTGTACTTGTACCGAGTATGTAATTGGTATCGGTGCATCCCTAGTATTTACCGTAGTACATGTCTCTATGTTATATTGTTGCACTCTGGGTTCTGAAGAGTCAGGATTTCAGAGGCTCTTGGGGGACATGTATACATTCCGTGACACAGTAAGGCAATGCTAAGCAGGAGCCGTGGGTCAGATTATGCACCGGCTTTGTAATATTATTGCAGCTTGATTCATAGATTCAATATACAACAGCACCGCAACAGAACCTGTGCAACCAGATGGCCGTCTGGGATAGAAGGATGGGGGGTTCCAAATATGAAAAAAAACATAAAACCGAAAAACATACTGCAGCACGCAAAGAAAATGCCTAGAGAGTGCAGGTCTATGTAATGTACCACATAGCATAGAGAGTGTAGTGGTCAGGACTAGGTATTGTGCAACATAGCATAGAGAGTGCAGGTTAATGGACAACATAGCATAGAGAGTGCAGTGGCAAGGGCTATGTAACATATAACGCGGCATAAAGAATGCAGTGGTCAGTACTATGTAGGATAAAAGATGGCATGTAGTGGTCAGGGCTATGTAACGTATAACATTGTGCATCGGTCAGAACTTTGTAATGTACAACACAGCGTATAGTGTGCCGTGGTTAATACTAATAATGTACAGCATAGCTTATAGAGTGCAGTGGTTAGAAGTATAAGGCTAGGTTCACACCTAGGCGACACCTCACCGCGTGGCAATTGTGCACGATTCCTCGCGGAATGCCGCACGGTCAGGAGCCGCCAGGGTGTGAACCGATTGCGCTGTGGGTGCCATTATTTTCTAATGGCACCCCAGTCGCGCCGGGTGGATCGCGGATAAAACAGATGCGCATAGTGTATCACAAAAAAAGGGTACCTGTACCTTTTTCTGCGATTGCCACGCGTATGTCACCCCATTGAAATCAATGGGGCCGTGCAGCAATCGCTGCCTGCATTATGCAGGTCAGCACGATCCTGGGACGCGCGTCCCGGGTGTCGAACGGTTTAGTGCAGGTGTTAACCTAACCTAAAATGTAAGGCCCCTACACTACAAAGCTGTTGGCACATGTCAAGGAGATTGTACAATCAAATTCTCATGTTTGTGGTCATCTTGAGAAAACAGAAAACACAGATAGACAGATAGATAGAGAGAGAGAGATAGAGAGAGAGAGAGAGAGAGAAAAAAGATAGATAGATAGATAGATAGATAGATAGATAGATAGATAGATAGATAGATAGATAGATAGAATAAGTCCTAAGATACATCTCACATGATGGCATGCTCATTCATTATCTCTGCAGAAGTACACGAACTCTCTCATCAGTGGCGGAACTACCGCCGGTGCAGGCAGTGAGGGCGCCCGGGGCCTCAGGCTCTGGGGGGGCCCAGCAAGTTGCCGGCCGCCGGATCGTTATCCAGCGCGCGGTGGGCCCCTGGTCTCTCCGCCGGGAGTGTCGGATCATCCGTTCATCCGACACTCCCGGCCAGTGTTGTAGCAGGGCCCCCTAGAGGCCCGAGGCCCTGGTGCGTCCGCACCGCCTGCACCGGCGGTAGTTCCGCCACTGATTGTGATACAAAGAAGCTTTGCTGTTCCTCTGCTTTGGGTGTTGTAGAGAAGGCCTGGATACCCCGTTAGGTTTTCACATTATCTGGGAGCCTGTGATGGCCAAGACTCGCCTTTAGCATGACATAAATTGCTTGCTTGTTGTCATATGTTTGGGCACCAGGCATGTCAAACTAGTGTTTTTTGGGGCCACATGCAGCTCTTTCAGTCTTTCTTTGTATTCTAAGTCATGTGTATGTGTAACATTTCTAGGTATATATTATCTTTTACAAAATTCACAGTGCTCCCTCTGACAATAGCTTAATCTGCTCATCCATCATTACCATCATTTGTTCAGGCATCACCCAGGGTCAGCATCTAAATCCAGGACTCCGATGTCGGCTCAGATGACAAAATCATGTAAATCCTGGTATCTGTGCAGTTCTCGGCTGTGTTCACGAATGTCTGATACAGATCTGCCCCTCCTGCAATCTCTTACCTTGTAATTTAGCACAACGTTACAATGTTTCAGTCCGATTACTAGGAAAG